GTTTTGTTTTCCCGAGCCAAAGGTATCGGGCTGCTTGCATGTTTGCGCACTGGCAGCACACACTGTAAGCCTCGGTCCCCGATGTGTCCTAGTCTTTATGATATAAACAATATCTACAAGGAGAATCAAAATGCGGACACCACACCACAGTTCAGGTGCAAACAAACAACTTGTTTGCTACAACAGATGTAAGTCTGAGACGTATCTTATGACAGAACCTGTGAAGCACTTGAGCCCCTGCATTTTCTCAAGGATGCAGGCGGGAGCACAGATCTGTGGGGTCTCATGGCAGGGCAGTCAGATGTGAGACATTTCCAGACTCACCAACAAAAGTAGACCTGAGATTCCTGGGGAGATGCTACAAACCATTTAAAAAAAAAAAAAAAATAAAAAACAAACCACAAACCCACAACCAAAAACCAAAAGAACCAAGCACAAACGCCCACTCCAAAATAACCATTCATACCCAAACTCTCCCTGTACCCTTCCGGCCTACCTTGCTCCACTGCCTTAAAAGCTATTCAGTACACCAAATTATAACCCCACCAGAACAAAATTCAAGTCAAGAAAAGTGGCAGGCAAAAAATAAGACCAATTTCTCCCGAACCCCAGTTATGGATAAATGTTGAAAAAGTAGAAATAACAACCTTTGTACCATCAAGAAAGACTTTGCTAGTGATACAGGGTTTACAGTGCTAATGACAGGCAGCAGCATGTAATTCTGACAGCTTGTGTTCCCTTTAAGTAAATAAGATTCAGTTTTCAGCATCCTTGGTAGCACAGCACTGACTGTGCATGGTGGCATTTCATCGCGGCTTCGGCATTCAGCAGATTTCAGAATTTCCAACAGTTGCCTGGAAAGCATCCCACTACACCCCTTCGCAGCATGTAATTCTAGCACTATTAACACTCGAAATCGGCAACGGCAGCCTTGTGCAAACTCTCTGCTGCAGTCACTGTGCTACGTGTACCTCAACCGAATCTGTGACTGTACTGTTGGATTCCCTGGGTGGACCCAGGCTTCCTGCAGGACAGGAAGGGCCTACTTGCAGCAGTTTGGGTTTTCCTGCTTCAAGGGAAGGAGTATACTGTGGTGGGTTCAGCCTGTCTTCTTTCAATGTTGTACTAGAAAGATGTTGATTGTGGCCTTATTATTTATTATGTTTTATAATACAGTTGTTATTATTATGTAAAGTCTGTGAGGGCCACTGAGGTAATTAAAGAGCAGGAGTTGAGTATGACCTGCACTTAGTTACGGGTAAGTCCAGTGTTGGGTGTCATCACGTGCAGGAGGATCATGCTGTAACATTTAACAGATGTGGGTCCGATGTGTCTCCATGCTAATTAAAGAGGAGGATTAAGGGACACCTGTTCAGGCAGAGTCCCTTGTGTGCACTGCCCAGCAGAGCTGCTGTGAATTCTGGCCCATACATGTTTGCTTTAGGAAGGAAACTGGTAGGAAAGTGAGTGTTGCTGATACTGAAAGGACACAAGAACTCAGTAAGAAACCTTAACTCTGCATGGATAAACTGTTTCCACACAAATTTACGAGCTGGAGGTTGGGTTTGGTATTTGGGGAGGGGGGTTGGCTTTATCTTGTTTAAATAAAAAGGCTCATTTTTAACTGGAGTAGCTATTTACATGGCTTTTGGCCTCACGCAGATTTGCAGTTGAATTACTAGGCATGAGCAGGTGATAGTAATGGGCGCTCCTGGGGTTCCTTTGGGAGCACCTAATAATCCCTGCGCTGCCTGATAGAGTTGAAGGGCATTATGGCTATGCACTGAAATGTCTGGCATTTTAGCTGCTAGTGAGAGGAATCACAAGCAGTGGCCTTTGTCTCAGAATCTCAACAGTTTTATTACACAGCAATTACAGTAATTTTAACTTTTGTCTCTTTCTTCCTTCTTCAATCTCTATCGCATATAATCACCAATATGGGCAGCCATTCTGAGCCTACCCACCTCTTTACATCCCATGAACCCACCAGGATTTTGAGGCCATTAACACACAGAGGTTGCACTTCACTTGTTTTTTGACAGCCTCTACCTCTGTGTATGTGTATACAAATATAAATGTATGTATACACACACACTTGTGTGTGTATTACTCAGATGCTGCATGGAAAAATACATATTTATATACATATATATATATTATAGTATTTCTGTTTTCAAGGCAGCTGTTTAGAAACATGGCTGCATACTTCCTTGGCTATCCGGCTGCCAGATTCTTCTGGCCTTGAATGCTTTGCCCAGCCTTTTCCAGGCATGTCTGTGGTCTTCTGATTGATCCCTCCTTTGCACTAGCTGCCTATGAATTTCCTTCCTGCAGGGCAATCTGGGGTAAGTTTCTGTAACAAACTCACCAGCCTCAGAGACTTGGGCTCTCTCAGCGAATGCTCGTATGCAATGGTGGATGTCAGAGGGCAGTGGTTGAGTCGGGACCCCTGAATCCAGTCAGACCCATGAGCCTTTTGTTATATTTT